AAAAGCAGCTGCTGGTATTAGATATTTAATACTTGATTTAAAAGTAGGAACAGCAAGTTTTTTCCAATCAATCGACGAAGCTAAAACCTTTGGAAAGCAATTTGTGAGTTATACTAATAGTTTAACATATAATATTATTAACTTATTAGTTGAGTACCTATATTATAAATTAACTATAATTTATACAGTTCATCTTGCAATATTTATTGAAGTATATTTATATATTTAATAGTATATTAATATTAATATAATTTGAATTGTAATAGGTTTTAATAACTTCTGTATTTAAAAGGAATGGAATTGGAAACGATGATTTTATGTCTATCTTATACTAGCTACACAATATATAGGAATTTAGATATTTTAAAATATCGTTTTCAATTTAATGATGCGAAGAACACTTAAAAAACAGATTTTAATTTCTGTCGTAAAGTTTACTTGAGATCGATTTTCCTACATTTTAAATGTTTGCCTCAAATTTGTTAAAAAACGTAATGACAGATTAAAAGTTCTCATTTATCTATTTAACTTTGATGTAGGCGTGTAGCAATAAAGATAAAATCAAAGGGAAAGTCAATTTTAAATAAATTGTTTATTTATGAAAAAGGTTAAGGGGACTGTAGTTGCTGTATAAAAATGTGTAATTTAATATTCAGGCATATCATATTGAAAAAACTTTATAGATTTAAGGTTAGACAGATTTTAATTTTTTAAGCTAATTTCAATTAATTAAAAAGTTTACTATATTTAATTACGGCCATTTTAATATCGTTAGCATGTGTGAGTTAGTCAATAACTTATTTGAAATTTGTAAGACGCTTTTTTTTTTATCACATTTGATTATTGTCTGTTAATGATGTTTGGTAACATAATTTGTTGCTATGATTAACGCATAAATAATACATAATTTTTAATTTTTTTTGTTTTGCAATTAAAATAAATATGTTTATGATTCAATATCTATCCTAACGACGAGAATAATCATTATAATATATTTTTATTGATTTATTCAATCGCTATGTTGGAAACGTTTAAAAACATAATAAGTAAATTACTATTATAATCAAAGGTGGGGCATGTTAATGAAAATAATTAACTCAAATTAAGTTATGTTAAAAGAACATAATATCGGTAAATTAAAGTTATCTCTTAACAATAAAATTAAAATTTAATATGGAGAAAAAATTAACTTGACTCAAATTTCTTTTCTAATTTACTAAATAATTATAAAAAACAATTTTATTGAACTTTTATTATAATGTGTATTGTACAGTGTAAATACCTTTTTACCTTACATGCGGTTATTATTTATTAATTTAAACTATACACATCTCAAATTAATAATTTAACAAATATTTTTTTTTTATTTAATGTAGCAATTGAAGTTCATTTAACATTAAAACAATACAATTTATAATTTTACTAAAAAAGTGTTTAATATCAACTGCAAAAAGCTAAGTTATACTGACTATTTAATGGCTATTGTGTGTGTAACGGGCAGGACAACACATTGAACAAATCACCACTTCAAATCCCTTTTATTGAAATTATAGCAAGATAAAATAAAGATATTACAGTTATTCGAAAGGGAGAAGTAAATACTCATTATTATTTACCTATATTATTAAATTCACTTTTATCTCCTCTATTTGTGTATGTTTTTTAGGGAAATAACTGTTGACGTTGCGGACATTAAATATTTCAATTCTATATTACCTATATGTGTTTATTATACATTTATATAATAAGACGTAATTTATGTAACGTTGTAGGTTCTAGTGGCTAAATTGATGGGTATTGAATGTAGAGTGTTGATGACTAGAATGTCAGCTCCAATCGGTAATTATGTCGGTAATTCTTTGGAAATATTAGAATCTATAAACTGTTTAAAGGGAAAAGGGCCAAGTGATTTACAAACGCTCCTTGAACTAATCGGTATTTATATATATTTTTAAAGAAGATAATTATACTAATGGATTATATTGTTGTAAATAATAATTATTACACTAAATTTAATAGGTGGACATTTATTACAAATGACGCATAAAGTAAGTTCGGTGAATGAAGGTCGTAAGCGGATGGTCGAGTCGTTAACTAACGGAACAGCTTTAGAAAAGTTTAAACAAATGTTAGTCGAATTGAGTGTCAATGAGTCGATAGCACACGAGTTATGTTATGGAAATACAACTGCCGTTTTACCAATGGCCAAGTACAAAATCGAAATAAAGTCTCTAACATCAGGTAAATACAATTGAATATTTTAAATTTGGTAATATATTTTTGTATTGATACGATGAGAGAGATAAGTGTACCTATTTAAATAACGGTTTTGAATATAAAACTAGTAGGCAAAAAAAAAAATAAAAATATTCTATTTTAATATAGTATACCTGCTTTATATTTACCGTTATAGGTTACGTGAATAACATAAATGGTATGACTATTGCTAAAGTTTGTAACAAATTGGGTGCCGGGAGACAGTTTTCTAATCAAGCAATTGATCCAGCGGTTGGCATTCGTTTGCTTGTAAAAAAAGGCAATTATGTGGAAATTGATACTGTTTCTATGATTTTGTATCACAATGAGACTGATTTAAACGAATCATATTTAATTTTATTACAACAATCGATCGAATTGGTGAATGAAATTAAAGAACCGGAAGATATTTTGTTAGGAGTTATTGATTATAGTTTATAATTTTCATGATCATTTTAATTTCAAATGTTGTTTAAGGCCTAATTAATAATTATAATGTGTATATCTATTTTTACGTTTGATTGAAATAATATGAATTATTATTATACATTTTATTTATAGTGTTAACTGTTAAATAATTTATCAATACTTAATCTATAAGATTGTTAAAATATTGAGCTATTAAATGAAATATAAAAAATAAAATTATTTTAATACTCTAGACATTAGGGATCAGTATATAACAGTAACTAACGATAAAAATGTTGTACCGGCAAAGCGCGTATAATTATGTGTTTCATGTGTTAAAAAAAAAAAATTATTATTTATTAATTTTTTTATCAAAAATTACTAAAAAAAAAAGGATCACGATTATTTTAATATTTATATGTTTACCCGTGAACTTATTGTTTTTATAAATGTGATTTTTTCAAAGAAATATAAAAAAAATATATTATCACGGTTTTGTTTTTAGCTAATATATATATATATATACCTCGTATATGTTTTAATTAAATTAAATGGGGTAAAACAATGTAGTACAGCAGAGAGAATTGTAACATTTTGTTATAAGTATAAAATAGTTATAATAGTTAATTCACTTCAAATGCTTATAAAAAAATTCGTACCTTGTATCTATAATATTTTGAAATAGCTACATAATAACAACTTATATGCAAACCTTGTAAATTGTAGCTATTCAATTTTTAAGCAGTTTGATATAGTGAAAATTTTTATCAATGTTTATCAGTATATGTATCTACAAATAGCCTAATTATTTTGAAAATAATCCAAGGTTATTTATTATTGAGTTATACAAAAAATCAAAATCAATTTTGTTAAAATATTGGTTTTACGTACAATTTCCCGTTTTTCCTTGATTTGTATTTGTTAGTTTGAAAAACACTAAGAATATCTTTGATCTCCCAAAGCACCGATTAGACCTAATTATCAACCAGAAACCTTTTTCAAAGTTTAAAATTGAAGAATCTTCACTATTTAAAAAAATAATAACAAACAACAAAAAACAAGTCATTGTTTAATTAATATATTCACCGTTTCGGATATAATGTAATATCAATAATCTGTATATTATGTATCATTATTGTATATTACACCAAAAACTGAGTTAAAATAAATTAGCTTATTTTCATAGAAGTTTGGATATCGAATAATTAAAAAATAAATAAATAGTATGATCCGATATCATAATATATTTACAATTTTAAGTTTGGATATTTAATACATATGCAAATACGATTGCATTATAAGCAATTTTATTCATACATGTTTGGACAAAACACATTGGTACCAAGAAATTTAGTTAGAGGGATAATTTAATATAAAATAAACATGTATTAATTGTAATAAGTAGAATATTTTCAATAGATTTATTTATTTAACAAACAAAGATATATAGATAATTCAAATTTATTAAATATTTAACAACTGTAAAATATAATTATATATAAAAAAAAAAAAACATTATTATAACTATTGCATTGTTTGTCCTTGGAGCGACTTTATGGCTTATAATATATATTATATTATATTATATTTAACATAATATCACATTTTTCCTATATTTTTATTAGCGCAGTAAGTAATAAGCGCTTATAAATTACTACAATTATATAACAATTAACATTTTATTACAGAGGTATTTTAATACTATACAGGTACATTTATACTACGTTAAAATATATTCTATAGATATTGATCCCCATTTTTTCGACTTTGACTAGTTAATTTTTACATTTAAAATTTTGTTTAGAACACTATGCACTACGTGTGCAGATTTAATTTATATCAAATAAATAATAATATAAACTAATAAATAACAAGATTTAATTTTACATATACGTTCCTATGATACACTTAGTTAATATATATGAATATATATACGCACCTATAGTGAATGATTATCTCGAAGACTCCTCAACACTGAGGAGTTAATATATTATAATATAATAGGAAACATTAAATACCAAAATAAGATACTTCAAAATTTTAAAATATTAAATTTTTTTTCAATTTATTATATAATACTTAATATGTAAGAGATCTAATTTAAATAGAAACATTTCCTAAAGCGAACCACAAGAATATATAAAGTACCCTTATACAGTGAATTATTTACTCCATTTTTTATTTGAAAATTAAATTAGATAATCGTTTTTAAATAAAATTCAACTATTGGTGTTAAATAACAATAATAATTCAAGATCTGAGCATTTAAATTTGATTGGTTTTATACCCTACTTAGTACATAGTGGAAGTCCTAAAATTTAAAGTTTTTAAAAATATTTTATATAATTGTTTTTCATGCACTAATAAGATAGCATATCATGACTATGCAATCATTACAATTTAAAATTTATTGAAAAATAATCTAAATTTTATGTGCATATTTATACAACTAATACAATTATATCTACAATTTGTGAGGAATTTGTGCCATAAAATTACATATATCTTTATTAGCTGACAATATGCTATTAAATGATTTGAACAATTTATAGAAATACGTTTTACACCATATAATGGTAAGAACTCAAAAGTAAGTTAGTTAAGTCTTTTAAAGAGTTAGCCCTTCAATTCAAGAAGAAATATCTGAGCTAAGGAAGCACAGATTAAAAGATGTTCAACCCTATACATAGGATAATTCAAAAACTGAAACACCATTTAGATCTGAGTGAGCAGTTGTTCCCTAGGTAATCCTAAAAAATTGTCTTTAGCATAAACAGTACTCTTACAAATATGTATTTTAGGACGGTAATCTTGAGCAGATTGTGCGACAAATATATTAGTTGCTTCTTGTAATTTTCTTGTAGATTGTACTAACCTTATTTCTTCTTTTTCACAACTTAACTAAATTGAAAAAAAAAATTATTGTTACTGCTTTTAAATTTCAGTATCTATACATATTATATTCAATATTTATATTAATTAATCATATTAATACTTATGCGTTTATATATTTTTTTTTCATTAATAATATAATCAATTTATGAATAATACCTTGGACTTAAATGGATTTGAACATCCCAACATTTTCTGTAAAATATGCCTTTTATTTTTGTGTTTCCTTTTACGTAATTCTCGAAGTAAAATCGAGTATTCGCCTTTTAACTGATTTACATGTCTTATTCCGTCATCGTTATAAACGCCTAGTTCTTTAGCCATTTGTAGTTGTAACTGAACATCTTTCATTTTCCCTATAAGCTAATATATATATATATTCTTTAATTATCCTTAATAGCAATAAGGTATATTTTTATTTTGACATTTACCCCTTCAATATCTATTAATGATAAATCTTTAAAATTATTTGATATTAAAAAATTGCTCTTTAAATCCTTTGGTATTCTTCTGTATCTTAATAGCTCGTACATCTGGTCAATTTGACGTTTTATGTTGAGCAATAAAGTTTCACCAAATCCTTCACCAATCGCACTGTCTGCACTAACACTAATAAATATATCATCAGTGTATGTAAATACTGAAACTGAAACGCCAATTGTCTGTTGAGACGGCAGTACAGAGTAAACTGTTTTTAATGGAGATCCTTTGATTATAATTCTTGACCTTGGGCCAGAGACCCAGCTAAACTGTAGACATGCCTTAAAATATAATACATAGGGTTTCAATTTGTATATTTATATAACACATTTAACATTGATAGCATAGTTATAGTTAAGTATTATATTTTTACCAAATTGTCTGTGAGTCCAGATAACAGTGTTCTGGTCCCCGAAGAATGGAGTGGCATTAATAAAGAAACTATTGCTGGCAGTAAGGTTTGATCCGATCGATACATATTTTGCATTGCTTTTTTAGTAAACCACAATCTTGGTATGGCACCTTCAATACCTATTGGTAAACGAATGAGAACTGGTGACGAGTGATCAGTGTTCCCTGTTTGCACAGGGTAAACAATCTAAAAATAAAAAAATATAATTAGTTTAAAATAACAAATTATTGTGTTTAATTGAAAATATATTGCAATACATTCATGTTGTCGAGTTGTCGTAGTCCAATAACTTTCATCATGACATGCAACGATCCGGCAATAGCTGACAAAACCACATAACTATTTGGAGTTTTAGTCACTTGATTAATTCGGTTTACTTTAGATAGAGTACCTTGAAAACAAGACCAACTTATGTTATAATTTAACGATAGCGGATCAGGAGTCACTATGTTATTATCGTCGATCGGGGTAATCATTTTCCATAATATTTCTGCAGGTCCAGTCATTATAGTTCTTGCTACACTTGTCCAATATCGAATTTTTGTTGGATTCTGAAAGACCATTACTTATATTTTAATCTCTGTTGTTAAATTACTAAAGTTATTAGGTAAGTTAAGTTTTTATACTTCTGAAGTATGGTAGTATGGTTTTGTATCTGATAAACAAGTGCACAATAATTTAGCCAAAGAAATCCAATCTGATAAACACCGGTGAGCAAGAAATACCATCACTGCATCCCGTTTTCCCGGCATCACTTCATCACGTTGAGACAACAAATGCAATTCCCAAGGTGGTTTGTCTATTGATAAACCTCCAGAAACTAATTCCCCAATATATTTCTAAAAATTGCATATTACAATTTTAAAAAATTATATACATACATTCATATAGAAGATATTTTTAACATGAAAAGGGAACATTGTTGTTTAGAAAATATGTAATTTAAATTATGCTTTTTTAAAGACTTTTGAAAAACCAATCATAAGTAAATTGTAAATAATATAACCAATAAATTATATATAAATCGTGTTTTGCAGCTCAAAAAACAATTAACATAAATTATAGGTGATAAGTATTATAATGACCTATATGTATTGATAAATTATTAACATATTGAAATATATATTACTTGAAGCTCATGTTTTTCCATTGTGTTTTCACACGATTTGAACACGTGTTGGTTAATATCGAATGAATTACGATCAGACATCCAATAATACGAATTCCCAAATAGATTTGTCAGGATTACAGGTTTTTCAGTTAATCGTGGACACTGTGGTAATACTTTTTTCACGACGAGTTGTTGTAAAAATTGTAATTCCATTTCGTTGTCAAGAATGAAAATTGCAAACACGGTAGAATGACGCCAAGAACCACCCAACCAACGAATTTCATTGTTTGTCATTACGTTTCCTAAAACTAGTAATAAGAAATTACACATTTCAAAAAGTTTAATTATACAGGTTATACATTAGTTTTATCATAATAATATAATGATAAATATAAATTTATTCAAATTTACAAATAATAATTAAAAAATGAGCTAAATTCGATTTATGCAAGCAGCTAATGATGAAGGATGATTATTTATTTTATAATTGTTAAATCTGATTAATTTTAAGTCTGAATAGAGAGATGAATATACTAATTTTACAATGCTGTATGTGTTTTTATTATTTGTCATCACCTTTAAAAGCAGTAAAAATGTCCAGAACTTTCCAAAGTAATAGGTAAACCAAAAAAAATAATAAAGAAAACAGAAATTTTTACGAAAACTCAGTTTTTGACAAAATTGATTTGGTTTATTTTATGTACCTAACTTAAAAAAAATAGCCACAGATACTTAAAAATATCATTATATGTTCCAAATTTTTATGCTAACCACTTTTTGTATATAATATAATTTTCAAAATATTTTGAGTTATTTTTAAACACTTAAAATTTTCTATTTTTTAAGTTTTATTTCTGTAAATATTTCTAAAAATTTTCAATCAATCGAAAAGTATTAAAATCCAATACAAAATCCCTCTCATATTGTTCTTATAGCTATATGAAAATATTTAAAATACATAATCATAAATTATTTTGACTAAAATTAATTTAACTTATTATATTATTAACAGTTAAATAAATACCTAATACCCTATGGCCTATAGCAATATCAAAAACATAACATGAAATAAAATTAGTGATTTAGGCTGAAAACCGTTTCTAATGGTAATATATTATTGAATCCAATTTTAATATATCCATCACAATGATCCAATCGACACCAACTATTCGCCATAATAACACCCAATCGCTTAACTTTTAAAATTCTAAGCAGTGTGTGATGTATGATGATTTTATAATAAATTATGTATTTTTTTACATGTATACGCGTTAAGTTGCCAAAAAATATTATTTTATTTTCTACTATGAGATGAGAGTAGATTTGGATATAAAATTAGATCTAATTTGTACTTAAGAGAAATTTTTGGTAGGTATTTTACAAAAAAAAAAAAAAAGAACAAACTGTACATGAAATTTTCAACAAATGTTAGCATTTCCTTCACATTATATAATTTTCAAAATATCCTTACTATTTTAAGTTTTTTTCTTACGTTTAAGACTTCTATTTAATTTTTTTAGTTTTATTTCTGTAATTGTTGTTGAAAATTTTTTCGCTTAGTCAAGAAGTGTAAAATTTAATATAATATCCCACATAAGTTGTTCTTATAAACACGTAAAATACTTTAAAAATATTTAAAATACATAAATAGGCATTTAAAGTTAAACGTTGACAAAATTCGTTGAGATTACTAAAATTTGTAAATTGCTATGAAGTTAAAAAATATATATAATGCTTAATTTGTATTGTGGAGATTTGAAAAATTAACAAAACATTCCTTATAAGTATTTCATATTTAAATCGAAAAATCTAAAAAAATGTATGAGTACAGTTTTATTTATAGACATTTAAGTTCAAATTTGAACGAAATTACATATTTAAACTATAAATAACGATATTTATATTTTAAAAACATTGTTTGTAGAAATATACAACTTTTACATACCTATATCTATATCATATATATTAAATATACATAATGATATTTTCAAATTCAATGTTTCGGAAAAAATTAATTCAACCTATTAAATTACTAATAGATAAAAAAAATACTTGGTGATATACTGATATAGACTGATAGATCATCACCATTTTCGCCTAGAATCGTTTTTTTTTTCAATTAAAGTATCATTAAATTCAAATTTAACACATCTAGATGTATGTTAAAAGATTATTTATTATTTAATCGTTCTGTGATATAATTCATTTTATTCATTCACATTGCTTTACTGTATAATGTATACATTTATATTATAAAAATACTAAAATACTATATGTATCAATAAATATCTTAATTTCACTAAATTAAGATTTAAAATAACCATAGATAGATACAATATTATTATGGGTATAATCCATTATTTTTAAAAAGATATTTTCACATTATTTATACTAAAATATATATTAACAACAATTAAAAATTCTTAAAATTAAATAAAATATATTAAAATTTAAAAACAAAATTCTAATACATATAGTAGATATTTTGTACAAATTACTTGTTCCAAGTTATAAGTATTAAATAATTTATAATCTATATTACAGTGTTTCTCAACTTTTGTGTTATAGCAATTGGTGATACACTATTAAAATATTTCATACTTAATAACTAGAGCGCGGATTTCTATGCAATTGCATATTTTTTTCCTTTTAATATTTTTGGATTTTTGTCAGTTATCTCCACGAATCATCATAATTTGAAGCTAATGGTGAAATCTTTTTTTGCATATTTCTGCATATTTAAAGGTTATTGCATATTTTTGCATATTTTGGCAAAATTCAAAATTTATTGCATATTGAAGCGAAAATTTAAAAAAATTTAAAAAAGTGTATAAGATAATATTTTGACAAGTAGAATGATTTAACATTTATATCTACTCATTTGGCATTTTTAGTGATAGTCATAAAAAAAACTGAAAACTCGAAATATAACTTTACATCTAAGCTTTTCAATAATTGACGAAACGAAAGAAAAAATGCATTCTATTTCTGGATCGAAAGGTGTAACACTTACAACAAAATTAAACGAGCTTTCCAATAAAAATGAAGGTCTGAAAATTCTACGGAAAATTAATTCAGTGTTATTAGGCGAAAACGTTCAGCTCAAAGAACTTTATCAAGATCCGATAATACTAAGTTGCTTCAAATATGCCCCAATAACTTCGGTTGACGTCGAACGTTCGTTCTCAGTCTTTAAAAATATGTAAACCGATAAACAATACAGCTTCACAGAAGAAAAACTTGAAATGCATATGATTATTCATTTTAATAATAAATACAATTTTAAAAATAAATTAAGTTTAGAAAATTCCCTAAATTTTTTATTATTAAGTATTTAAGTAATTAATTATTATAAGTTTTATTGTAAATTTTAAATAAATAAAAAATTCTTGCATATTTTCATAATTTTGACTGCATATTTTCATGATTTTTACTGCATATTATATGGCATATTTCGATACTTTTAAGTGCATAAAAATCCGCGCTTTATTAATAACACATAATAAACAAATAACACTAATGGATAATATTTAATTTTAATTGGTAAATATGTTGATGATCAAAAATGTTTGAATATTTTGTGTCATTTAATATATTAATAATATACTTTGTTACACATTTTGACTTATTCAACGATAAATTGGTTGAGAAACACTGATCTATAGTATACATGTATATGGCACATACCTCCTAGACAAGCAATTCTATGAGCCAAAGACACGATCCATTTGAACACAAGAGTGATTGGTATGATAAGGAATAATAATATAACTATTGGAAAGCTGATAGCGAAATTGATAGTTTTCATAAAACTTGCAGTAATCAGTCTCCATATTTTAGAATATCTTTTAAACGATATTCTTATAGGACTTTGTTTCTGTCTACTACCGCGTCGTAATTGATAGTACATGTGGGTAGTAAATCAAACTTCCCTGAAAATTATGATTTAAATAAAAAAATATTAATAAAAGGTATATAATAAAAGAGGACCTACACACAAAAAATAAGATTTAATTAATAATTTTAATGTATTTTATTGATTATTTGTGCATAGAATATTGTTTTGTTACAAATAATAATATTATACAATTTTATTATTATGGACCAATAAGTGCAGTAATAATTGTGTAAATACGCACTTTAACAACATAGAGATAGTTTTCTATGTTCATAGATCTCTATTAAATTTATAAATGTTATAAATAGATATAAATTTATTTCAATAATATAATTATCAAAACACGAGAATAATATGATAAATTAAATGTTTTACATGCTAATTTCTTATGTTATTTTTGAAGAATTACTTTTATAAATTGAATAAAATATTCTACGTACCCACGTATATACAGAATTGATTGTTATCAATATCCGTATATTTATTTATACACGTGACTATACTAGCACACTACAAATTACTTTAAATAATATATATTATAAGAAGCCTTTCGCAAGGTGAAAAGTTAACGTTGTCCGGTAAGTGGTAGCTTTTAAAATATATTATAATCAATTATGATATTTTATGTTATTATAATGGTATATGATATACGTATAATTATTATTATATATATGTTTTATCATAATTATACATAAATACATTACTCCAGTGATAAAACTCTAAGTAGGTATACACACGCAACAGTAAACGAATTAATTATAGGTATAATTGATTGTAATAAACTTTTATAAATATTAAATCATATTCTGATACTTATTAAATGAATGAACAAATAACTTTGTAATTCTATAGGTAGTACCTAAACACATATAGGAAATAGATTAGTTTTATTTATTAATTTTTTTTATAGATATTTAGGTACTTATAAATTAATAATATTATTATCATAAATGATAGGTAATTCTAAATTTTAACAAGTGTCCTATGATGCGGACGGCTGTACTGTCTACAAAAAAAATTAAGATAACTAAACATCATAGTTTGAAAGTATGTTGTAGTATTTAATTATAATTAATGGCAATAATATTTAATATGCAAATGTTGAAAAATAATCTATTATTTATAACTACTAAGCACTAAAGTGTTTATTTTATAGTTTAAATATTATGGCCGATATGGGATGAGTTATTAACGCGGCATATGTATACTATTTCTTACAGAATTCAGTTACACTACTTTCCTGTTTCTTAAATTCTTATAAATCAAACATTTTCCATAAAATATTAATAAATCAAAAAATAGAACACACACAAGAAAATTATTTGTTTTAATTTATGAAATAAAATTTAATGTATAGGTTGCCATATAAAATAGAAGTATGAAAAAAAAAACTTTATGTTGATTTTATAAAATAATATAAGCGTACCTACTACATAAGTACTAGGTACATTAAAATAATTCGTACACGAAAAAGAAATCTGATAATATTATATGAGCGTCCTCCATATAACAAATTAGGGCCTGTCTATAGGTAAGTATTATTGCAGATATCAGCATTAATTAATATAAATGTTTAAATAAAATCAAGAAACTTTTACAATTTACTTCGTAAGTATAATATTTTAGGTTTATAGCTACCTATTTAATCATATTCATGAAGAGATAAATTAATGATAAACAATTTAAGACAAAATATTTTAATACCTATATAGTTTTTACAATCAGGGGGTTGATTTAGATAATACAATTATTATGGAACACAATCGACTATAACAATAAATTTACTAATTTTTTTTAAAACATTTTTATTTTATTTACCAACTATACTGATTGCTAGGTGTTACGAAAAGGTAATTATTTAAATAATTGTTTAACGGCCTACATAATTTGAACATCATGGTGTATTAAATTAATATTACATTCATTTAAGTTTTATTGATTTAGACTTTGGCCTAAATATTAGATTAATAGTATCTTTGCATTTCATATTATTTTGTTTCGGATTCTTGAACTGTGATAATATTATGTTTATAAATAATTTAAAAACAATACCTACCAAAATTTATTATTTTTTGAATATAAAAACTTTGCGACGCCCGGGATTATAATATTATCTAATAAGGGACCCATCAACCAAAATATGCATTATATATACGTACTAAACAAACTTAAAGGTTTTTGATTAAAATAATAAAATGACAGCAATTTATTGTTGTGGCACAGATACTACAAAAATCTATAAAAAAAACATTTTGTCAAGCTGCATTACTAAAATTGTTTTTATTAAATTCGGTCAATAAGTCCATTTAAATCAATAATTATTATCATAATAGTGTATGAATTTTCTCGTTTAAAATCTGCTGTTTTGTTATCAAAAATAATTTATGTTTCAATATAATTTTAACTATAATTGTTACAAGTGTACTTAAAGTTTGGTTAATTATTACGGAAAATAATGTTACCTAACGATCAACGCGAAATTCATTTTCGGTACCTAAACAAACATTCCAACTATAATAAGTATCTATATAATAATAATAATAATAATAATAATTTAATAAACTTTCAACTATCATGATTTTGTCATGTGTATAGTGTATACATAATAATAAGAATATTATATAGGTTGCAAATATGTAAATACGATATTACATTTAAATAACATAATTATGGTTGAAATATTGTGCTACGGTTGCCGACGGGTGATACACGCTGATACTGCGTGACCTATAAAATCTATGCTGCAGAAGGGGTGGCTTTTTCGAGGAATTGCGTTCAAGGCAACCCCCGGTCAGCAGCCGATCGTTCTTCCCGCAGTCCCGCGAGCTATTTTATAATAATATTTTTTTAATGCGTCCGGGACAATACTTAAGGGACCGTATAATTATAAATATCAGAATATATGCGCACTTATTATCAAAAAATTCCTTGTGTATTTCAACAATATAAAATACATATTGTTTTATCATTATAAATATGCTGCATATGTTATATAAATTGCATACGCCGTATATTGTTCCGTACCAATTATGGCCTTTAATAATGGGCGCATAAACATTATTATTGTATAGTGTAAATGCGTGTAAATAAAAGTGATAACTACTGAATTCTGCATATTATTATAAAATCTTATGTATGTATTATTCAGATATTTCTATATTTTGAAGAATTTTCATTTATTGTTATATGTTATTTACACGCATCCTGAGCGCATGCACAATAAACACACATACCTACACGTTTAAATATACATTTATTTTTACGGGTTTGTGTATTACTGTTCTACTCGTAGAAAAATAACTATTACATTTTTGTAAGAGTTTTACTCCCTGCCTACAGCAATAGCGAACAGTTTAATGTAGGGTAAGATTTTTACGAACAACGATTCAACGCATGTAGAATATTATTCGTAAACAAACAGCAAATAACCTTTGCCGAGGATTCGTACGAATAGTGTGTTATTGATATATATTTTGGTAAATCAAATAATAGGGTATTAAATTTATTAATATTAAATTGGTTTTTCAACTTTTTACCGAGATATTCACAAACCATTAAGCGCGCGAGATTAAATTTTTTTTAAGACTTGAAATGACTACCTTTACCACAAAAAAATAAAATAGGTCGTGTTTGTGTTTAACATTTCAACTCAATTGGTATTTCGAAGCAAAACGTAAATACATTTTTATTATTATCATCATTTTTTTTTTTTTAAGTATTGAAATGTGTTATAACATAATGATTGATGTAGGTATAGGTATACTTAATATTATATACTGCAGTAAAAATATAGTTTATCCGTAGACATACGAAATGGGTACGAATAAAACGTGGGATTTTTGATAGATGAATACGATATAATCAACGATACGGTATTACACAACATATAATTTACTATACTTTATATAAAATATATATTAATACGCTTTGGTATGTGGTACAAATATTATTTTTCCGATAAAACATTTAGTATAGAGAATATATTTTTCATACATATGCGCTACCGATAGCGTGCAATAAAGTAATTCGATAATCAAATGCAATATTGTGTCGCAAATTGAAACGCGTAGTTTTTTCGATTTTTTTTTTCGTTTTTTATCGATTAAACAAACATAAAATCTACAGCCTACAATGCAAACAAGACAACTCTTGTGTACTACTAGAAAAAAACAAATTTACAAAGTTTACAAAATCATAGTTATTTTTTTAACTTAATTTAATTTTATAAAACACACACGAATGCGCGTACTATTACGTTATTTGTGAAGGATTTAAAAATATTTTATAGCATTTCTATATAGCAGAAACTAGTGAGTTTTAATAATCATTTAAGTAAGTATCGGGTAAATGGTTCGAATATATAATATAAAGCTTTTGTGAGAAAAGAAAAAAAAGAAAATTATATCATTAATCTTAATTATTTAGTACCTATCAATGTTGCGTACACTTGTTCAAGCACGGGTAATTATACAGAGTATTTGGAGAATCAAATCACTCAGAACTATTTTTTTTTTTTTTGAAAATGTTTATTTGTTTAAGAAAAAAATTAAATGAGTAGTTTCTGAATTATTAAACTTTGTGTACTATATATATTTTTTATACATAAAATTTACCTACAAGATATAGTCTAGTATATTTATTACAGTCAGATAGTTTTTAAAAATATTATAAAATCATATTATACATTAATACTACCTAAAATAGTATGTTTCAATTACTATAATTTTCACATAATCACTACTTTCGCTGGGTTCTACAGATATAAACCTATTATAACGAGCTTTTTTTCTTAATGCCTACATAAAACTTAATAATTCTATAGAAATTCACATAATTTTTAATTAAAATATGTCAACATTTTTAAAAATCTTCGTCTGCCTTACAATGTATGTGGTTCTAATTTGTAAAAAAATTAATATTGTTACAAAGCATACAAATACTAAATATTTTATGTACGGTATTTAATTAACCATAAACTTAATACTTCCAAAATCAGAATAATTTAAATAAAT